CTTTTTTAACCTACAAAACACAACACAACACAACTGGCTCACCCACAATGTAAAAGCAGCTGTGCTAGACCCAAAATGGTCCCTGCAACAAGCAGGAACCTCACACAGGCACAAAAAGCCCAAAAAAACAACTTTCACACTTTAAACACACACAACACAACACAACAGGCTCACCCAATGTAAAAGCAGCTGTGCTAGACCCAAAATGGCCCCTGCAACAAGCAGGAACCTCACACAGGCACAAAAAGCCCAAAAAACCAACTTTCACACTTTACACATACACAACACAACACAACAGGCTCACCCAATGTAAAAGCAGCTGTGCTAGACCCAAAATGGCCCCTGCAACAAGCAGGAACCTCACACAGCCACAAAAAGTCCAAAAAACCAACTTTCACACTTTACACACACAAAATTCCACATACAGCTTTGTGAGATTTTGTGTGTTTGTGTAGTTAGAGTGAAACATTACAGAAACACAAAAAATCTCAGAAAGCTGCACAAATATTATTTTATTTTATTTTTATATAAAGCAGCTAAATTTAAAACTTCCTAAACTTTAAATGGCTAGGTCTAAAAAAAGAACGACTAAAAAAAACCCCAATTAACTATTTTTTTTAAAGCTCCCAAAGGGGGGAAAAACGTATCCAATAGAACAGGGGTCTCCAACCTTGGCAATTTTAAGACTTGTGGACTTCAACTCCCAGAATTCCTCAGCCAGCTTTGCTGGGAGTTGAAGTCCACAAGTCTTAAAATTGCCAAGGCAGGCAGGCAGGCAGGCAGGCAGAAAGAGCTGCTCACCAATGAGCTTGATTGCAGGCAGGGAGATTCAGTTGCTTCCTGATGCAATGGATTACAGGGATTACAGCAAACGAAGCAAGGCAGGCGTGCGAAGGTAAGAAAGCTGGAGGCTGGGGGGGAAGAGATTTTTGCTACCGGTTCTCCGAACTGTCCGCCGCCATCGCTACCTACTTGCCCGAGCCGGTCCGAACCGGGAGCATTTCACCCCTGGCTAGACCTCTGAACCTCCACTCTAACCCATACCTTCTAAATCCCTCTCTGACGGAAGAGAATATTTGTAGCTCAAGGTTGAGCTGTTGGTATATTAAAAACATCTCAGAAACCACCAACTGATTATTATAACCACATGGCTTCACAACAGCATACAAACCAACTAAAGCCCTGCCAACTCAGACAAACAAGCTAACAGTAAACAACAGCCTAATCAAGGAACTACCAAGATTACTCCCATGGAAAAAGAGAGGAAACATCACTTCCTTCTAGCACTGATGATGTTGCCTAGTTGAGTAATGAAACAGCTGCAAGAAAACAACCAAGCTCAGGGAACACCAAGGATTCCACAAACTCATTTTTCCTCAGTCTCCTTACTTCTCTTAGAATATAGCACAGGAAGAAGATTCTTGTAATCCTATGCTCTGATTGGCAGTTCCGCCATCCAATTATTACACTACCCAATGTATATAAGTTCTTAATAGCTGATAATTAACTACTGAAATATCTGCCTTTTAAAAAATTCTCATACAGTTCCCAAGAAAGCCCTTTCTGGCCAAACTACATAGGAATTTGAATAGGCATTCTACTGCATCTATTGCATATAATTTCCAGCATTTTTTGGTTTATGTCAGCCTTTCCAAAACCTGGTGACCTCAATATTTACTGCAACTACAACTTCTAGAAATCTCCAACATTGGCCATTTTGGGAACTGGAAACTGAAAAAACAATTTTGAATACAGCAAAGGCATTTCCGATTTTCATTGGGCTTCAAACTTTTTTGTTACTGCATTATAGCAGTTAAAATACCTGATACATCTCAAATGCAAGTGTTTATTCCGGCATAGGATGAATTCCTTGAATTATGCTGTTCCCAGGCTGCTAGAATGGTAAAAACAGGTGTGATTTTGCATATCTAGCACTACTTCTCTTTTCAGAGCAATTCTGCAGAATACTGTTTCTCCTTTTTGATTTTCAGTGGGTAGGCTTTCAAAGTTTATTTTGGATCAGATAGTACTGAAAATACACAGAATATCTTGGCAAGAATCTATTTTTTTTTCAAGGATGAGGATGAGAAGGGATTAAGGAAATAAAATTAAAAAAATAGACAGGGCTGGGTAGTCCCCAAAGAAGAATCATTTAATAAAAGCCTACAAACTTCCTGTCTCTATTTAGCAATTTACACAGCTTGTGCCAAACTAGGTCCTGCCTGCAGTTTCTCAGAAAATTCAATTAATTCTACTTGGTTCGAGGGAGGGGAAAATCATCAGCTGTATATTTTAAGTGTCTTCATTTAAATAGTAATTTATACATTAGACTTTTTCCACCTGTTTGCTGTTCAGGTGTGATGAACATCAACTTTCATCTTCCTCCCAAGTATGCTATTGGTCTAGAAAAAGTCTGCTTGTCTCCAGTTCCCATCAGTACCAACCAGAATGGAATTTGTAGCTTGACATGTTTGGAGGCTATTACACTGAGAATCTATTATGTGTATATACTAGATATTGAGGTTAGCTGAAGTCAAAATTTGGAGACAAATTCCAAAGAGAGATGTTACCTCAATATTATACTCTTGCCAGTTACTATAGAATCTGCATTTACCAAAAAAGAAAAAGTAATTGTTGCTTGGTTGCCTACAAAAAATAATAATAATCTGCGAATGGTTACTTGAGATCCTGAAGTTAATGGGATATTTTTAAACCAATATTAATAATTCCGCCCCTCTTTTTCTCAATAAGTCATGTAGCATGCTGGATGTGGTATACCAAAAAATTCTAGTATATTTATAAAACTATTGGTTTTATTTGTTATTGGTTGAACTAAAAAGATATAAACAGATCTGGGCCTGACAAAAGACATATGGATTTAATGATTTACATTTAAACAAGAGTATTTAAATCTTGAACAAGATTATTTTGTTAATGACAGCAAAGATACCTGGGTTGACCATTGTGCTTACAACTACATGCTATCATCTGTAATAGGACAATACCTTGATTATGGAACAAAACAGGGTTAAATCACAAGATCCTTCAAGAGGAATGAACTGAATGTCAACCGGAACAAGCAGAAACATTGCCGTTTTTGTAGCATCTCCAAAACTATTAATTTATTTGTTCAACTTGTATGCCGTCTTTCTCCGAAGACTCATCATTTACTGCATTATTGAGACTATCATTTACTGTATCCCATGAAAAAGCATTCAACTCACAAAGTTTGTGTGACAATAAATTTGTTGCCCATTAAGGTACCCTTGGTACCAGAAGAATCCTATGAAAAGGCAGAGGAAATATTGGCAGCTGCATTGGAAGACAGGAGGAAGTTCTATCTCCATTATTAATTTCTGTGGTGTTAACTGTTACAGAGCTAGGACAGAAATATATGCAAAGATGAAGCAAACCATAGCTTCCTTTTACTTTAGGCCTGCAAAATCTGTAATTTAATGAGTTAAACTCATCCATTGTGATGTATTGGAGATAAACTGTATTAACCTCTTACAACAGTAATAAAATTATTAGCACCATTTATACTAAGACGTTCGAATATTTGCATATGTATATAATATAAATAAAACCAGAAACTTTAACATACAAAGCAGGAAAACATGACTATATACATGCAAATTGCAAATAAGCAGAGGAACGTTAGAACCTGTGTGAGCAGGGGGTTGAACTAGATGACCTCCAAGGTCCCTTCCAACTCTGTTACTATTAAAATGTTGTGTGAACAGGGGGACACAGGAGTAAATTACTATACCTAGTCATATAATGGAAGGACTATGATGGTGCCCTGCTTTGCTTCCTATTCTTCCATGAAAAATTTAAATGAAGTATTTATTATTCAAGGTCTTACACTGTTTTCTTGAATTTCTTGATAGCCATGTGGAAGTGGTTTGCCTCTTCCATTTTTGTTTTAAATTCTCAGCCTTTGAACTTTTGGGGTTTCTCACTGAAATGTCAATCTGGCCTGATCCTGTTTAGCTTCGGAGTGCAGATAAGTCAGGTAGATATTGTTTGCTTATGAGCACCTACTTAGAAAAGTCATCTAATTTGTTTATTGGGTAAATCAAGGGCTGGCTGGCTCTGATTTAATAATTTTATTTTGCCTAATATCAATAATCTATAATGTGCCTATCCTCGCAGTATCTCAAATACATTGACAATAATGAAAACAAGCAATTCCTCTTCACAAACCATACGCAAAATAATCGTTTAGGACCCGACTGTCTCACCGCTATACCAAAGACACCGATGCTTCCTCTTAAGAGAATAACAGAGTTAGAAGGGACCTTGGAGGTTCTCTAGTCAAACCCCTTTCTCAAGCAGGAGGCCCTATTTCGGACAAATGGTGGTCCAATCTTTTTTAATACAGAACCAATCCAATGCACGTTGAATTAGATGTCTGCAAGGAATAAATCCATCCGACCGATTTACTGAGAAACTCATTTCATAGAACACAGTACAGGTTATTCACCCCAGCCACGTTTTAAAACCAATATTTGTTCATACAATTTAAATTTATATAAATATAAATTTGTACAGATCCAAATCTATGACGACACAATCTTGGCTTTGGAAATAAATGAACAAAACAGGTTATCTTCTTAGCAAAACACGGAAGATTGCGACGTCGTAGCCTACTCGGCCCTAGGTAGTCTCCGTCTGCGGTTGGGGAAATGCAACTTTACGCAAAGCCCTCGAGGTTCGCAGCCACTCGGAGCGGAGGCACTCAGATCGATCCAGCCACCTACCTACCCGGCGCGCCGCAGCTCTCCCGCTTCCAACCTCGGCGCGTTCCTTTGGGCAGCATCCGAGAGCTGCCCGCTGGCCAATCACGGGATCCCGCCTCGCCCCAGCGGGTCCTGCCTCTGAACCGCAAGGACTTCCCCTCCTTCGGTTCTATTCCCAAATCGGGGGCGGGGAGGGGAGAAACCGAATTGGGGAGCCAATCGCAAGCGAGAGCTGCGCCTCTCCATACCCACCCACCCACCCACCGGCTCGCCTTTCCTGCGCGCCCATCGAAGCGGTGGGCGCTGAGCGGCGTCGCCAGGCGGAGGCCGCCCTTGCTTCAGCTGTCGCCCGGGGAGGGGTCAACCCAGCGGCAAGGCTGCCCTGCCAGCTCTGGTGATCGCGGGCGGCGGGCAATTTCCCGAAGGCTGCCAAGAACGATCGGGGGCTGCTGGTGCGGCGACGAGCACAACCCGTGGCTTCTTCTTCGCTTGGGCTTTCAGCCGCCCGCAGGAGGGAACACCAACCATGCCGAAGAGAAAGGTAACGCCGGAGCCTCGTTTCCCCTTTCAGATGCACGCTCGGGGAAGGGGAGGAAAATAATAAGAAAAATAATAATAATAATAATAATAATAATAAAAAAAGGTAAACACCACCACCACCACCACCACCACCCGCCAGCCTTTCGCCACCCGCTGACTGCTTTCCAAGTCACGGGCTTCATTTCACTTTGGGAGGCCGCGGCTAGGTCTGTCTTTAAACCCCCCCTCCCCTCCCCTTGAACAGCCTGTTGCAATAATAGGGCCCCGGGTTCTCGCGTTTTAGCAATTTAACGCGGCCACATTTCCATTCGTACTCTTATGCGGTTGCAGCGGTGCGCACGGCTTCGGGGCGCGCGCGGAGGAGACCCGTCACTCGGGTCGGTGTCAGTCTCCGCAGGGCCCTTCTCGTTCCCAGGAACGTCAAGCGCGCTTGGCTCTCTCCCCCTCTGCCACCCCTCCATTCCCCCCCCCCCACACACATATACACACAACACACACCCGGGACAGGGCAGAGACTGCTCGCCCTTCTTACGCCCCGGAGGAGAAACGAAGGGTTTGCACAAAAAAAATAAAAAAACCCTCTCCCCGCGAGAAGCTCTGGGCTAAGTGCGCGGCTGGGGGAGTGTTTGTGTGTGTGTGTGTGTGTGTGTTGTGCTTGCGCGCGTATTTACAAAAGGAACGCTCCGAGAGTTCGCTCTCCACCCCCCCTTGGGATGTGTTGGGGGGGAGAGGAACTCTTAGCTCGGGCTCGCGCACGCCTCTCTCGAGCCTCCCTGGGGACTCTGTGTGTGTGTGTGTGTGTGTGTGTGTTGGGGGGGCTGCTAAGGTAACCTGAGAGTGCGAGGAGGCGGAAAGTAAAGGCAGTGAAGAGCCATATTTAACTACCCCGCTCCCTGCTTTCCGTGTGGCAGACCCATCTGTGCCAACTCTCCGGGTCTCTCGGGACCGGCGGCTGATTAGGCTGGGCCTTCGACCGTCGCAGCTGAGGCGGAATCTGATGCCAAGGCGGCGGGAAAGAGTTTCTAAAGAGCCCCGAGGTCGCCCGAGGAAGGCATTGGGGTGGAGCTTTGCACCTTTCGAGACGCTAAGGAGCCGCTGCAACGGTTGACTCCACAGAGAGAGAGAGAGAGAGTTGCATGAAGCCGAGGCGTCTCTCTTCCTCCTCACCGTTTCCTTTTGCCTTTTTCTTCCTCTGCGGAACGGCTGCTGGATTTTTCAGCGACTTCTGCACTCTTGTCTCTTCTCCCGGCTCCCAAGATAGGGATTTCTACTCTCTTGGTCACATTTGAGTGGGATAAAAAAATGCCTTTTTTTTCTGGCTCCGGGTGTGTAAATTGAGAAGCAATATGGACGTTAGTTCTAACTACCACCCGAAATTGAAAGTCGTCCGAGATTATTCAACCTCGAGTCGTGTTAGATTCTGAAAAGAATCAGAGGTGTTTTGTGCAGAGTTAAGTGACTCCCTCAAATGTGCTGGGAGCGGTTGGGAATGTGGGGTGAAGTGTACAAGGTCGTAATTAAGTCCACTGGATGGATCGGTCACTCCTGCAAAGTCCAACCTGCCCCATGGAGTTTTTGTTGCCAGAAAAAAACTGAGGAGGAAATTGTGTGTATGCTAGCAGAGTTCCTGGAGAAAAGGCAGGATATGCATCTAAAAAACCAGGGACTGTAACTGAAGATGTGGTTTATTCAGTTCAAATTTAGACGTGCTTCCATAATCCCATGTGCTGCAACTGAGATTATAAATTCCTAAAGGTAAGGATTAGATGGGCTTGTAATCAGGGATATAATGTCTTCCAAAGCTTTGGGATTTTAATTCCCATCGGTCCCAGCCAACATGGCCAAAGACAAGGCTTTGTGGGAGTCATCCTTCAAACCTTATGCAAGACCTTGAGGTGCTTAGCTGTTCTTGGTGTCCTCTCAGAAATGTACTGTAGTGTGCGCACTGATGGTTCTGTAGAACGCTAACAAAAAAGTAAGCAACAAAATTGCACCATAACTGACTATAATGGAAAGAGGCTGCCTTTGTTTTGCCTCTTCAGAGAAAGAATAAAAATAAATTTGTACAGCTGCTTATTAATGGATTTTTAGGCCTTTTAAGGAGCTGAGCTGTCTAAAAATACCTAATTTTTGTACTACTAATTATTTTATCTACATAATGCTTTTCCTTTAGTTTTATATTTACATATTCTCTACTACAGTAATTAATACAACAAAAAAATGTTGTCAGACTAATGTCACTGAAGAAACAGCAAAAGTATTTCATTTCTGCATGATTCTTATGGAAATATATTTGTGTGCCATACTGGGAATAAAAGTGAAATAAGTGTCATTTTGATTAACAATCCAGTATTTTAAGCTTCCTTTAAATAAATACTACTTTTAAAAATGTAAGGTGCTTATTGGACTTTAAACAGTTGTAGAAGGAATTTTATCTTTGTCTGAAAATAATGTAGATGGTTATCGCATGTTCCTTCATAATTACTATTGCTTTTCCCTCTGGGGAATGAGTTGCAATTTTGATTTATTACTGGTTGAAAGTTCAAGTTGAAATATTTAAATATTTTAAGGCCTACAACTATGTGACATGTCAGTCTGACTAGGTGGCTCAGTTGCTAAGACACTGAGCTTGTTAATCAGAAAGGTCGGCAGTTCGGCGATTCGAATCCCTAGTATAGGTCTCCTGCGAGAGCATGGGGTTGGACTAGATGACCTCCAAAATCCCTTCCAACTCTACTGTTACTGTTACGTATTTCTTCAAAATTAAATGGAAACTTACTTTTGGGTAGATCTGAGTAAAGATTTGGCTTTCGTTAAGATATAATCTTACACTAAACTATACACATTTATCAGAGAGTTACTTGGATTTAGTGGATTTTTTTGGATTATCATTCTTGTTTTAGATTTATTTTTATCCCTGATAACCTTGTTTGCTGCTCTCCTGTGCCAGAATCTCATTCATTCTGCAAATGTGTATAATGCCTCAGATATCATAGATGAGATATCATACCATAGAAAACTAGAAACAGGTCATTGTTAGAACACATTGGATATGAATAGCTCAAGGATTGATCAATGGCTTTATTGCATTAGAATTCTTAGAAGAAATCTTGATTCATTATATTCTGAATTAAGATTTAGATTTGGCACACAAATACCCCTGACTGTCTCTTCCTCCTGGAAGAGTGGGAAGGGGGATGGCAACCTTATTGATATTCTTGGATTTCTCATTTGTGTTGAACTCATTAATCACCAAAAAATTGATGTACCGTACTTGAAGAAGCTGGGGCCTAAATATACCACTTTATGATGATGGTGATGTTGGAAGAGATAACTGAGAGACACATACTTGATTCCTTAGAATTTTTGCAAAATTTCGCCTTGTTTCATGTGTCTCTATGTAAGTTAAGCCACTGGACAGAGTCAGACATTGGCTTGAGGCTAATTTTCAGCAAGATATTGATGATTCTAAGATGTACTACTTACTGGATGTTTTGAGAACTTGTGCAGATTTCCAAATTATAAAGGACAGGGTGTGGAAAAATACATTTAAGCTGAACTTCGACATGATCAATTTACTTCTGATTCTAGAAGTTGGATTTCAGGATCCGAGGGAGATGGGTGGTTAAGAAATGAGGGAGGAAGGAAGGGAGAGAAAGAGAAAGAGAAAGAAAGAAGTTAAGTATCAATATTCTTTTTATTCTATTTCTAAGTTCAGCTTCCATAGAACTTCAGAGGAAAGAACATTGCAGCTTGATTCTGATCGTTTTGATCTTTCTGATTCCTGATTTGTGGTTCCTTTACTGTTGATAGTTGATCCTAAAAGGCAGAGGCTATCCACCACTTCAGTGTCAATTGCACAGTGGTTGCTGTATGTATCTATTGTCTTTAGTTTCCTCTTTATATTTAACCTTAGTGTCCCATTTTTTCCCTTTGCTCCTTGACTTTCATTACCAAAGCTTGCAGATCGTTTGTATTTTCAGCTAGCAGAGTAATATCATTAGCATAAGGCAGGTTGTTGATGTTTCTTCCTCCAATTTTAAAATCACACATCTTTTTCCTGGAACCAATCTGTTTTATCTATATTGTGGCTTCCACACATCTATATGGGGTTTTGTATGAGGACAATGCATTGCTGTGAGATTCCTGTTTTTTGGAAATACGCTGTTTGATATTGTCAATACACTTACATTCTTTGGCTTTCTCAATTATCCACTGTGCATTTTCCTTCCCATGTAGAGAGTCTAATGTACATTGGATTGATGTGCTGCTTTGCTAGAAGTGTGGTAATGTGTACATTTCAGGGTGGATAAAAATCAATGATTGTTTTTTTTTTAAATCAAAAAAATCAGATTTTTTTTATTTAAATCAGATTTTTTTGATTTAAATCGGATTTTTTTAAATAAAATGCTTTTTGAGAAAAATATATTACCATCCAAAGGTTATTCCATCATGAAATAAAGATTAGCTTTTTAATTATGTAGAATAAGGGTGTATATGTTTAATTTTTTTGGTAAATAAATTCCATTAATCCATTCACAATGTCATGCTCTTCCAGAGGTTTTTGTAAGATTATTGGGCAGTTTCTCTGCCTACAAGATATTATCACAGATGCTTGGTTTACTTTTGCAGTTCTCAAAACTGAATTTGACTCAGCAGAGATCACATGCCTCTTCTTCACAGCAAAAATGTTATAACATGAACAGAGTTGAGAAAGACCTTAATCCTATTGTTCTACAAACCTATGAATACAGAATCAACCCCTTCAGTGCTAAGTTTCAAGAAGTTCAGTGAATAGAATAGAAACAATATTTTTCTGATTGTTTGGAGTGGAGTAGATCTGCACAAGAAGAAAGTGAAACTAAGTGTGAGGAGGAAGAGGCAAGCAGACAAGCAGTATAAAATGAAAGTGAAACTTCCTGAGCACAATACTGCACAGCCACAGACAGACAAGTCTTTGGATCTTTTTGTGTGTATGACCTGAGGTTTATCACATTCTTT